TATTGAGAAAAACTTCTAAAAATATTAAAAAGCTTAAGACTAAGTAAGAACTTAGTCGAAAAACTACGAATTGTTTATACAGAATGCCCCCTAAAAGACTTGGGGACTTGCGTTCTAAAATAAACCCTCAAATGAAGCCAAGGGTTTCTAACACAACTTTCCAAAGTGGTACCTGCAGAAAAAAAAGGGAATTCAAGATAATTTTTTTTTAACTAAGAAGATGTGGGAACTGAAGAAGATGCATCAACAGCAACGAGCTCAACTTGGACAGGAGCATCAACGGTTGCGGGTTGATCTTGATTCACCGCAATAGGCTCAACTTGAGCAAAAGCATCAGCAGATGTGGTTTCAACCTGGCTTGTAGCAGTAGGTTCAATTGGGCTTGAAGAAGATGTGATACCCGTATGAGCTTCAACCACGGGAGCTTCAATCACGGGAGAAGGAAAGTCCTGTGTTTGATGAGCTTGTTCAATGGTCTCATTAACCTTAGCTAATTCTGACTCCAGGTCGAAGTTTTCTTGCCCAACTTCAATTAGGGTATCACGATGTGAATTCAAAAAAGCCCAAATTATCTCAACATAAAATCTTTCTTCAAGGATCTCATAATCCTTTTCCCAAGCAGCAACCTCATTCTTGAGCTCTTCATTTTCGGCCAAGGCAGAATTACAAGAAGCTTGAAGGGAAGCATGAGAGCTCTCTAAAGCACGTATCTTATCAGTAGAGACTCTAAGGTCTTCTTGTGCTTGGGTTAAGTTTTGCACAAGCTCCCCAGCATAAACTTCTTTTTGATTCAACAGAGCCTTCAACGCCCTGTTCTCCTCGCTAGCCTTAGATAGTTGTTCTGAAAAGGAGGATTCAAGGCGTTCTTTTTCTTTCTCAATTTGGATCAAGGAAGCCTTGATCACCGCTTGCTCCAAAGTTAATGCTCGCACTTGCTTTTCCAAGGTACTCCTGCTCTCTTGTAAATCCTCCATGTTAATTTGAGCACTGTCAAACTGTTCCTTCCAATTGTTTGCTTCCAATTGAGAATCACGTGCTACCTTCTCCAAGAGGGAGATTCTGTTCATCAGCTCAGTGCCAATAAGATTGGCCTAAGGAAAAAGGAAGGGAAATAAGAATCTTGAGGGTAAAAATTTTTACAAAGTAAAGAAGAGAAAGAAAGAAAATACCTTCAAAGTGGCATGCACTATGTCATTCATTAAAGTCAGGCTGCTATGGCTCTCTAGTTTTGCTTTCTCGATTGGGCCAATTAAAGGCTCGAGCCAAACGTCAGCTTGACCTGACTTTCTCAAGAGGCTGCTATCAGCAGGGCTTCAATAGTAACGCTCCCCATAGCAGTACTTCTACTTGAAGAACCCACCTCCGTATGGTGAACGATAGGTGGGGGAATTGTTAAGGGAGGAGCGGTGGAAGGAGTAAAAATAGTAGAGGGAGGAACAGAGACAGTTGAGGCAGGTAAAGAAAGAACCACAGGTGCGGGAGTTGAAAAGGAAGATTAGGGAAGTTCATCTAAAACAGGCCCTAAGTTGCCACTACCAAAACCACTGATAAAAAGCTGGTCAATGGACTCACGAGCATCATGTAAAATGACGTCATCATCAGGAATAATAACAGGGGTATCAACAAGCTCGGAGAGAGGAAGACGAGGTGAGATTTCAGCTTCGTTGTCAGATACGACACGTCTTCTAGCTCGTGGTCTCGTCACCAGGGAGTCTCCTTCATCCTCTTCTTGTGATTCTTCTTCTTCAGTAGCTTTTCTTTTTGCAGAAGAAGAACCCAAGACTATTTCTCGGGCTGAAGAGGTAGGAGTACCCAAAGAGTCACGAGAGTCCGCAACTGCCTCAGCAGTAGCCCCTCGAATAGCAAATCCTGATAAAAAGAAGGATAAAAGTTAGAACAATAAGAGAAAATATTTATATACGTGAAAGATAAAATAGAAACTCTTACCATGAGTCTTTACTTTCCAACCGTAACGGTTGGAAAGGTTTTTCCATGACCTACCCTCCATTGGAGCGGTCCTCAACAATTTTTCTACCCAACCACGGAAGTTGGGCACATTCTCCACAACACCCATGATCGTTGAGAAAAGAAAAGTAGCGACATTAGAGAAATTAATAAGCTTGAAAGAAAAAGGCACGAGAAAGATATAACACTTACGTGCAAAGTTCCACTTCTTAGGGAAGGGAACGTTATCTTCACCCACTAAACCAGCAGTGGGGGCAGCAACAAACCGAGCATACCAGCCACGGTCTTTATTATCTTCGGGGCTCACTAAAACCCTCTTGCTCCTGGCTGCTAGGGTAAAAACGCCATTACGGAAAAGCCTAGGGGAGTAGAGGTGATTAGGTGGAGGAAAGTAAAGCCAACATCTGCCATGTTGGCGAGGTGCCTCAAGTAGGCGACGGCCCTCCAAACAATTGGACCAATTTGACCCAAACAAACGTTGAAAAAACGGCAAAAATCTAGAATGACCGGGTCAATGGCTGGTTTAAACCCTAGAGTGAAAGGGTATGTATAAACAAAGGAGAATCCAATCATGTAGGAAGTGATCCTCTGATTTGGATTGGGAATGATAATTGGAAAATCACTACTCCAGTGACAGTCCTTACGAACTATAGGAGCTAATATTTCTGTAATCTGAGTAGGGAAAGCATCGGCACGATCTAAAGTAGCGACTTGGTTCCTAAGAGATTCTCTATCATAGTGAAAAAATAGTTCTGATTGAACTATCTCTTCAACTAGAGGCTCTCGTAAGGGCTCAGAAGGTTCTTTGTTCCTAGAAGAAGACCTTTGAGAAAAGGAACCCCAAGTTCTCGAAGAGGGACCAGAACTAGGAGAAGGCGTGGATGAGCTACCACCGCGAGCAGACCCCAAGCTACGGAGTCGACCCCCTATTCTATGCCTAATAGGGGCATTGGGGAAGTTATCCAAAATAGGGGTTCTCCTACGGTTAGGGTTTGGTGAAGTCATGATGAAGAAGATTGAAGTGAAGAAGAAATGAATAGAGATTTGAAGAATTAAAGTGTTCGATACGCTTTATGCGGTAAAAGACAAGTAAAGAAGTTATATTTATACTGATGGGTAACCGGAAAAAGGGAAAAGTACAATGAAGGAAGGGCCATAATAATGATAACTGACACTTCGTGAATAGGAAAGCCGAAAAGAAAGCCCAAGAAAGTGCTGCAAAATTGTAAAACCAATAAGAGGGTGACACGTGTGTAACGTATTAAATGGAAGTGACAATTGAAGCGTCAATTTTGTCAGAGCATTAATGGTGACAAAAATTCTCTTTTAATGAAATACACTTCCCAAATATTCAACTCATGAATAAATAGAAAGTGGGGGGACTATCTGTATTGGGGAAAATTATATTTATATATAAAGGTGACGTGTCAAGACACGTGGATTAGTCAAATGGTCAAAGAATCGCAATTAGCCACGAGTCAGGAGTTACAACAGATACGAGCAAAGAAAGAGGAAGAGGCACGGAACATCAGACAAGTAACACGGTGCCCGTACCTATTTAAGTCATTTATATCCGAGAATCAGAAGAAATGAATCTGACAATAGAAAAGAGTGCAGACACGGCATTTAAAGAGCATTAAATGCTGAATACGTTAGAGAATATATTTTGAATGTAACGATTGTGTAACGTAGCATTCAATGTCTTTAATTACTCATAATAGCCTCATTATGATTCGAGCAAAACGTATATTCTCAAAGGTACCTATAAAAAGGAGATATATGATCAGTTGTAAGGACACAAAAAATCATTTGAATATACTTTGGTTTACTTGCTTTATTCAATTATATTCTGGCTATTCAAATTATTCTCTTTTATATATTCTTGCGATTATCAGTAACCCGTGATTGGTTAAATACCAGGTATGTCCATTTATAAGTAGCTTATTATAAAAATTGGTCAATTCATAAAATATTACTAATATTAGCCGATTAGTATTTGTAGCCAAAGAAGGTCAAATTTTTGCTTTTTTTAAATGAGTCTTATTAGAATAGATTGGTTATATCTTTAGGGGCATGAATCTCAATTTTGGGATGATTTGGTGAAGTTTTGATGTGGTTTAGATTAAAAATTCGAATTAAACGATGAACATGAAAAAAATAATATGTGTATCACATATGTATCATATGTGTAACATATGTATATCCATGTATACCTCTGTGTGTGTGATACATGTGTCGCAGAAGTATTTTTTGAACTCGATTTTAACTAAGAATTTTGATACCAAATCAGTCCAAATTACCTTCAATCTTCCTCAAATTTTGTATATTGACTCATCTATATGTTTTCAATGAATTTCAAACATATCCAGTGAACAAAATTCCTTTTTGCTTAGATTTTTGGAATCTTGTAGTTTTTTTTTATTTCATCACCTTGTTTGCTACCTCATCCATGAATTTTCTTTCCGTCTTGCATCTAATGCTGCTGATCACGCTTAAAAATATGGAAGGAGATCTTTGCATGTGATTCTTGAAGAGTAAGAACTTTATTTATTTGAGTTTTCAATTTGTATATGTGCTAGGCTAGTTTTGGTAAGTCTATGATTAATGACTAGAGGTTGGTAAGTTATGACTTATTTGGAACATTTATGTAAGATTTCCGTTAAATAATTCGTGCACTTAAATTAAACTCTTTACAAAATTGTGAACTTAGGGGTCGTTTGGTTGGGAAATAAGTTATTATAGGATTAACTATTTTGGAACTAATTATCCCGGAATTATTATCCTATCCTCCCATAAGGACAAAAGTAATACTACAATCCCGGAATAATTAATTCCAGGATTAGTTATACCATGATTTTATCCCAACCAAACGTGAGATAAACTTATCTTAAATTTAATTTCAAGATTAATTATCCTTTATCCCTCGTACCAATCGAGCCTATTGAGGAGTACTAATGTTATAGGAACCCATTTATCTAGTGGTCTTGACAGCTATATTCTTCTTGAGATAAACAAAATCTTGGACTCCCAAAAACAATCAAAAAGGAAGTATTCATTTCGAAGAATATAACAAAATATTTGATAAATAACATAGTACAACCAATTTCCTTAAAACAACTACTAAAGAGAAACCCCCAAAAACCCAAAATAATAAGAGCCAAAAAAAACAGATTTCTCTTTTCTTTCCTTTCTTTTTTCTTGGTGGGGGCTAGGGCGGGAAAAATGAGTACTATCTTTTTCAACATTTCTCAGAATTTGATTCGCATTAATAATAACGCTTCAGTCCCAAATAAATTGGAATCAATTATAAGAATCTAATTAGTAACTGTAATTATAATGTTTAGTTGAGAGCTATCTTCATCAGGAAATGGAGTAATCATCACAAGATCTTGATTTTCTGCATTAATAATCCAACATGAAATATTAACAGCCTTATTTCCTTCATTAAAACTCACTTTATCACCTCCCAAATCATCCCAACTTGCTAAAATTAATCCACCATTTTTAGATATTAATCCACATTCCTCCTTAATTATCTCCTCTCTAATACAAGTTTCCACCTTAATTACATTCTCAGAATTAGTAATCTCTTTGACAAACAAAGTGAATTTTGAAGACAAATTTTTACCAATATTTTCTTCTGTTTCTCCAATACATTTTGATGCAAGATTTTTGAGGATATTTTTGTTTAAATTCAAGGGGTTTTTGGGAATTTTGAAAATTAAAGTTTGAGTGGTTTGATTTCTTGTGGTTAAGCTAGTAGATATAGTAGGTAAAAAACCAACTTTTCTTAAATTTGGAGTATAAAATGCTGGAATTTTTGGTGCATCAATTTGTGAGATCAAGTTGTTGTGAATTTTGGACCAGTTTTTCAAGAAACTTGTCATGACAAAAGGATCTGCTATAAAAAGGCTGCAACTTATCCCAATTGAGTATCCTCCACACTTGAAATTTGTCACCTGAAAAATAGTTATTTCAAAGGTTAAAATAGCTTGGACATAAGAATAGTGAAATTCCAGAAGAAGAAAAAAATAAGTGAAACTGGTACTTGAAAATTAGAGTTGTGTTTGGACATGAATACAATTCAAAGCTGTTTTTGAATTTTTGTGAGTGGTTTGAAGTAAATTTTGAAAAATAGCTTTTTGAATTTTATCAAAATTTCAAAGAATTCTTAAATTCAACTTCAAGTGAAATTGAAATTTTCATGACCAAACGCTGATTCCACAAAAAAGTAAAAAAAATATTTTTAGCCAAACGGGCCCTTAATAATTTTGTGTGACACTATTATTATTGGAAAAGTTAGAGGTGAATGTAGTGCACAAAGTTATAGGTTTTGAATCATCGGAATCAATAATTTTGGCTCAGACCATGCATATGCATTAATTATAGGTAATTTTTTTAAAACAAAAAATAGGTTTATGAAGATACAATATAAGATGAGTTGTCTACTGCAATAGGTTAAAATACACAAATAATGTAAAAGAATTCTTATAATATTAGATTATCTCAAAAGTAACTACAAGAAATTGTCCATAAAACGCAAAATTAGTAACGGGAAAAATGAGGTAAATTACTTATTACAATAGGTTAAAGTATGTTGATAGTGCAAAAATTCTTTATATTGTCTAAACACTAGGTGATTTAATCTCTTCTCATATGTTCAAAGCCTTAATAGATAAAGTTACGGATATTTGTACTGGTAGAAAATAACAGACTAACAAGTATACCATAAAATTAGTCCAGTTACAAATAAATTAACCCGAGCACCACAATTATAAATAAAATAAATGGACAAAATTCTTGTGAAATATATTAACAAGAGTGTAATCAATATTAAGTATATAATTGAACTTACCTGGACATAGAAAAGGGGAGAAAACTGAGGACTTGTTTCATGAATATCTTCCCAGAAAACAAGCTCAGTTTCAACATTTTCCTTGTTTTTGAGATCAATAAAATCAGCCATATTTATTTCAGCATTAGCCTCAACCAATCTAACACCAGAATCATTTGAAACCAATTCCAAATCATTATTATCCTCTAATTTCCTTAATCTTCCACCAAGTAATGGACTTTCAACTATTGCCATTCCTAATGACTCTTTAAACCAACCCGCGACTATCCATCCTGAATCCGCCTCTGATGCTTTGTTATAGTACAACACCATGTGAAATCGCCTTTGCAAATCGCCCGAGCAAAAATTTTCGGATACCGCGATTCGCCTCGATAACCGTGGATTGGTTATCTTCATTGGTATCACAGTTTGGATTGCTTCAACTTGCAATTTGGAGGAAAATTTTGCAGCTCCATTTCCATTGCAAGTTGCCATCTTTTAAGAGATTTAAGTGTAATACACTAGTTGAGTATGTACCATTATATATAGGTAACTTGGGAAGGTACCCCCACTCCCACATCCCACCAACCCCCAACCCCACCCCTCCTACCCCCCTACCCCCCCCCCCCCCCCCCTCCCAAGAATTAAAAAGTACCCTTCTATATGGTTGGGTATGGCATGCTCACATTATATTTCATTTGAAGAAAAAAAATTGAAGTTTTGTGAGTGAAAATTATTATGTCACTTGAAATACTCTTCGAACAATTTTTTTGATTTCAGATTCCTTATTTCAAGTTGAAGTTGAAAATAATAGACAAAATTGAAAAATAAAAGTTGATTTAAAAATATTATCTGCAAATAATATATGTCCAGGACGCTTACTTGACTTTTTTGAAAAATACGAAGTATTTATTATTATTCTTCAGATATACTCATACTACTCCAATTAATAAAATGTTTTTAAGTGACATATTTAGAGAAAGATAAATGATATTTCAGACAAATACTCTTATAATTTAAGACTATTAAACATTCAACTTAAGAGGTATCTAACACGTCCGAAACTCATTCTAGCCCCTCGGTCACCTCTAAACAATTTCAACAAGTTAAAATACTCTATACGGACTTGTCCAAAGGCTGAAAACACGAATAAAAGTGTTGCAACACAAAGTCAACTCTCAAGTCAAATTTATGAACTGTATCCTTCTAATTTTCATGCAATAGTGCTGAATCGCACCCCAGTCCCTCGGCTCCTAATCCAGATATATGTACAAGTTTAAAATCATCATACGAGTGAATATATATGAATTTTTAAATTATGATTCCAAGTCCTTTTACCCCCAAGATATTGACTTTAGTCAACTCTATTAAACTTAAGGCCTCTAATTAGGAACTAAGTTTTAAAAGACCGATATGATGGACACGAGATAGTATTAAAACAGACCTCTAACGGATGTGATGCAGCGGATGGGGCTGTTCCTCCCTTAACCAGAGGTCACGGGTACGGGCTCTGGGTATGGATAAAATCTTGGTAGAGAATGCTTACCCCCGAATGGCTCCCTACCCGGCGCGAATTCGAATATAGTCGGGCTTCAATGTGAGTATCGGACACCGGATGAAAAAAAGAAAAGAAAAATAGTATTAAAAAGGAAACACACAAAAGGAAGAAAAAAGGACCCAAAAAAATTGATAATAATAGTACAGGTGATCTGTCGCTTTTATGTTATAAATTGGGTGTCAGAAAAAGATTTCAGTCAATATATTACATTATCAAGATTAGTTTACTGATACACCTAACATCATTTAAGAAGTTTTGCTGTAAAAGTGGAAAAGCCTTTATTTTTCTTACTTCTTCCTGCAAGTTGTCTATCAATTTTTATTTCTGTTTTTGGATATGGATATATAAGTAAGCGTTTGGACATAAAAATTGTACTTTTTGCAACAAAAAGAACGTAGAAATTGGAGTTAAGTTGAAAAATAGTACTTGGAATTTGAAATTATGTTTGAACATGCATTTCACTTTACAAAAAATATTGCAGTTTTGTGAGTGGAGAAAGAGAAAAATTGATTTTTTGAAAAACTCAGTTTCAAAAATTTTCTAAAAACTTTCAAAATTTCGTGAACAAACACATTTTTTGAAAAAAAATTATAGACAAACGGGGCCTAAAAACATTAGCTGTAATCTGAGAGGACATTAGCTATTGCGGTATTCTTTTCAATATGGCTGCTTATCGGGCGGATTGGGCGGCTTTTTACTCTTAACGGTTTGGCTTAACAGTTATCGACTTTTAAATGTATTAATCCGTTAGCCACCCGATAAGATATCAGGCGGATTGGTATCGGTTTAGCTCTTATCGGGCGGTTTATCGGCCTAACATACATATTCACTAAATATCTCCCCTTCTACTGACTTCTTCGGCTATAATATGTATTGAAAAACTGAATCTTTGTTAGAAGTCAGTTGTATGGATTGTTTTTCTTTGTTCTTGCAAAGCTAATAAACAAGTCCACAACAATACAAAGTATTAATAGTAAACAGTGTTGGATAAAACTCAGAAAACACTACTGCAGAATGCTAAACAAATAAAGAAAGTCAAAAGACAGTGTTAATAGACAGTGCAGAATGCCCGTTGTTGGTGTTTTCTCATAGTTGAAGCAAGCTTCTCGTCTTGCAACTCCAAAAGGTCCTCCTACATCACAAAAACCATTAAGAAGCAAAAGCGTGTCAGGCACAAACGGCAAGTGTTCATTTATAACTCTAGAATTGACATTCTAGAAATTAGTCTACCAAGTACATGCCCAGCTGACTAATAGAAAATGCAAATCACAGAAGTGAAGAAGCTTTAACCAGATATTGCATTTCAGTTAGATAACCAAAATGGTTCTTCCGAATTAGACTTTTTGTGCTGTTTGCAACAAATCTTTCTGACCAAAACCAGCACAGCTGACTAATGGAAATGTAAAGCACAGAAGTGAAGAGTTTCAGAAAAAGAATTGCTGATGAATAATCTTACCAAATACATTAACACTACACATCAATTACGGAAGGGTCTTTTCTATTGCTGGCTAAATCTGGAAAAAAAAATTAAAATAATGAGTCGTGTGATAAATAGAAGCATATCAACAACACTATATACAACAAATATAGTAACAATATTATTACCTTGTTCAAGCTGCTCGATTTTATCAAGATCTTCCTCAACACTAATGGGTTGTTTTAATTTTTCATTTCGAAGCCAATCTTGAAGACACACTAGAGCTTGCACCAATTTAGGAGTTAATGAACTCCTAAATGGATCAAGAAGACGTCCTCCCGTACTAAACGCACATTCGGATGCCACACATGAAACCGGAACAGCTAATACATCACGAGCCATCTCCGCAAGAATAGGAAATCAAGCCGAGTTCAATTTCCACCAAAGAAGAACATCAAATTCTTTAGTGGTATCCTCAGTTTCTTCACCTAAATATTTATCTAACTCTGTTCTAGTATCAACACCTCAATTCCCACTTTTATATTTTTTTATATCTTGCATGAGTGATTCTAAAAGTCCTATATTTTGGGTGCTTGCTTGACTGCTAGAAAGTCCGGAAGTCGAAGTGTCCAATGAAGAACAATCTGAAGATGAAGCAAGCATAACACCTTTTGAGCTGGACTTTACATACTCAATGAATAATGAAGTCATGTACTTCGTCACTTCTGCTTGTATAGTTGCCCCCGGATCTACACCAAACATCTTTACAAGTGCAAAGCCAACTGATTTGATCTTGTAAAGTGGATCCAAAATACATGAGATAAAAATTATCTTGTTCATTTTTCCTGGATCACCCCAATACTTATCAAACTTTTCTTTCATATTCTTTGCCATTTCACTTAAAACTACATCTTCATTTGCTATCAATTGCTTCAAATAGACAGCAACTGCGCAAATTTCAAGAAAATGAATATTCGATGTAACATAACGTGATCCAGATATCTTCAAAGTAAGAAGATAGAAGATTTCAAGAAACTTTTTAATTCTTTTTACATTCTCCCAATCACTACTCAAAAGTTCACCTGTAGGAATTCCAACATCAATATAAGAATGCTCAAGATAATGTCTCAATCCAATTTCACTAGAAGCATAATGTGAAAATGCACTTTCAAATTCAACAGCCCTGCGCAACATCAAGTAGGTGGAATTCCATCTAGTTGGAACATCTAAGCATAAAGTTTTCTTAGAATTGAGTTGTTCAGCATCAAAACATTCTTGAAACCTCTTCAACCTCGCAGGAGACTGCCTAACATATCTCACAGCATGCCTAACACGTTCAATAGACACTAAAGATTCTTTTAAACCATCCTGGACCACAAGATTCATGATGTGAGCCATACATCTCACGTGAAGGTGAGTACCATTCATCAAATTAGTTCCATTTTTTGTTAATTGCTTAGATAATTCTTTTACTGTCACATCATTCGAGCTTGCATTATCAACTGTGACAGTGGAGATCTTATTTATCCCCCACTCACGTAAGCACCTACCAATACCGTTTGCCATATTCGCCTTTATGACTAACAATAGGACAAAGATTAATTATTCTCTTATGCATATTCCATTCACTATCAATCCAATGGGTAGTGATACACATGTAGTTGATTCTTTGTATAGAAGTCCAGGTATCAGTGGTAATACATACTCTTTGTTTTGTTTCTATAAAAAACCTCTTCAACTTTTGCTTTTCTTCCATTAAAAAGATCAAAACAATCCCTAGTTACAATACTACGGGAACGGATCCGAAAATAAGGTTGTGCCACTTTCATAAAGTCTCTAAAACCTTCTTTCTCAACAAAGCTAAAAGGAAGCTCATCAACTATTACCATACGACATAATGCCTTCCTACATTCTTCTTGTTCAAATTTTCAAGTAACAACAGCTACGTCACCCTGACTACCCCCCGGAGCAGATTGAAAGCCTAAATTTGATTGTTTTTTTATCAATAATAGCAGGGCGTTTAGGACACTTAAGCATATGAGAAAGAAGTGTCGACGTACCGTCTTTGGTCTTAAATACATACTTAATAAAGCAATAGTCACACTTTGCTTTTGTACTCCCTTCAGAAGTAATAATTTCTGTAAAATGATCCCACACAACAGACCTTTTTCTTCTTTTTTTGGTTATATTTGACTCCGTTGTTTGATCTTGACTTGTTGCATTTGAATTAGAAGCCCCACTTTCACCCATCATCACCTTATCACTTTGTATATTTTCAGCCATGTATGAGTCACTGCAACAACAAAAGAAAGGAGTGAGAATAAAAATATCAATTTGTAAACTAATCGTATTTGGTTATTAAAGTGGAACACATTTATAAGTGGAACACATTTATAACAAAGGAAGAAATAATACTGAAACAAGCCCCATAAAACATCTGAAGATATAATAAAGGAATAAAGATTCAATACTGAAACAAGACATTGCCTAACGAAGCAGAAGAATAGAGTTTCAATAAGGAAGGATCATGTTTCCTG